TTTTGAAGTGTTGGTAGGCAAACTTTCAATGGCAGGGAGACGACCCAATATGGTGGTCATGCCAATGAGACAACTATTGCTCCCTATCTTTAGTCAAGCATAGCCACAGGATCAAGTATGACATCCAATCACTGTTGGTGATGGAACCATTGTCAATGAACCCATTGGTGGTGGTGTAAGAATGATTTATCAATAGCGTGACCACTAACCTGCTTTTTATTCACACATTTTCGTGATTGACAAGAGCAGCAAATTTCTTAGCGTCACAACCTCTGAAAGACTCAACAACATCAGTTACAGTTGTATACAAATGCAAATTAACAGATAAGTCAACCCTAGAGTTTGTTCCTTTGCATGTGATAGCCATAGTTTTTAGTTTGTTCAAATGCAGATTCACACTTATTAATGTCAGAATTCTAAACACAGAGCTTGAACAGGTGTAAAGATTTGGAATTTTGAAGGTTAGAATGGATTGGCCAAGCTGGATGCAAACCATGAATTGAAAGTCGGTATCTATAACTCCTACTTTACAAAGGATTTGGTTGGGATGGCTATACAATTAACTCATAGCGTGTGTATGCGCCGACCACCGCCCTCTAAACATTTTGGGGAATTCTTTGGCAGTTTGGATTTATGTATTGGAAACAAATGCATGCAGAGGTAACATGCGTCCAACGAAATAGGAAGCCATCGAATTAAATGTATTCAAGTTTATTCATAAATCGAAACCCTTTATCAATATGTTTAAATAAAACATTGTTTACAATATTATTTATTATTTATAAATCTACAAAATAAACGTGTCTAGAAAAATATAAAGTCGAGCTCTGGCATCGAACAAAACCAGCTGGCATTAAAAAGTCATTGACTAGTTTGTTGTCATAAAAACTCCAATTTTATCAAGTTTCACACAATTATTTAAATTGTAAATTAACAGAGTTGTGTTCATTGTAACATATCTGTATAGTAAATATGTATAGTTATACTGGCCGAGTGAATGACAGTGTGAGTAGCCAATCAGCAACTACGTTGCAGCTGGCATTTTTGCATTAATGAGGGACAAGCAAATTACTATGCAGATTATTGTTTTTGTATCTATCAGTACTGTAAGTTAATAACACGAGTAATCAGCCAACTTGAAGTGATGTTTCGAAGTGCTTACCATTAATGAAAAGAAATACACTAATTATGGTATATCAATTAAATTTGAATATGTAAATGAGCTGATTTAGAAATATCCATGAATCAGAATAATATATGATCGAGCTTTATTTTCTAAATGATATTATGCCCTTTAACCAGTATTTTATTGACCTGATTATGTATTGTAGTTGTCAAATTTCTAACATGTCATTGGACTGATGATTACTGGTAATGTGACCGTATATGTTGTTTCTCTCTATGCAATATGGGATGATAAATAATGTGGTATATGATGATTTATATAAATTCAATAATATAACAATTCACACATTAATAAATTATCCGAATAAGCAAATATAAAAGATGATATTGTTACTATCTCCCTAATTACTATAAAAATCGCTTTTGTAACCAGTTTCGAACACCATCAGTTGGCAATATTTCAGGGTCATTTGATAGTACTTCAGAAACAGTATTTCCGATGTACGCGAATACCCCATTTTCAATGATGACGACTCTGTCTGGTTGTGCATAACACTGTTTGTTGAACTCGTTATCCATGCTGTCTAGTACAATTGGAATCTTCCCTGTGTTTTCTCGGTCTGTTGTGAATGTGTTGTACTCTGTGTCAACTTCTATCAATTTTCTGCAAAAATAAATATTATTATGAATCTTTAGCATATATTCGTGAGTACAGATAAAGTAGCAATCACAATAAAAACGTAAACAAGACAGTGTGGACATTTCTAATGTATATGTTTACTAAAGTCATTACTGACAGTTAATGGACTCCTACGAAGACGCAAAAGGTAGTTAATAGAGTCATTGAGTAGCCAATAATAAGGTTGTACCTGATTGGCTAACAGTTAGACCAATCAGAAAACAGATTGTTTGTTGGCACATTTTTTCGACGTATCAGTTATGTCTTGTATATATGCTTCGACTCAACTGAGTATAGTAATATGGATCAACGGTCTTCCCCGTGGCGACTAGTAGATTGAGACAACTGTTATGTATTGATATTAATATATGCCGCAATAGAATAAGACCCACCTTGCTGCCTCTGCACGTTCTTCAATACATACAGCGTTATTGAATGAACTATAATATGAACCCATTCTCCATCCATCTGCAGGATGTGCTTCAGTAATATAGATGAAAAGAAAGTCTACTTTATTCTTGTAGTCACCGAATAAACGATGTAGTGAGCCACTGTGAACTATGGCCTGCAATGATATGTACTCAGTCAGTATGGATTGCATATATAACGCATATGAATAAATATATATGAATTCCCAGTTCTGTTATTTTCAACCAGTCATAATATAATAAAATAATAAAATAAATAATAAGATTAACTCACTCTAAGCATTTGTCAGGAAAATGACGATGCTACAATTAAAAGAGGTCTGTTTTTGTGGATATGTAAAGAGAAGAGTGGAATGGTTGTCATGGTATCCATCGTTACCACCATAACATCTGGAGCAGTATCCCCAACCATGTTGCTTCCTTTTATTGACTTAGAGCCATGGGGCATTACTTTATCCAAATAGGACATCACCTGTTTAATGAAACTTATACCAATGACCATGTTCTCGTATTTATAATAGTAACATTGGCGCGTGATAGTGGAGCAATTCCTAGCTTAGCAGGGTATTTTGATGTGTGTAATATACAGCTTTTAAAAGTATCCAAATTATTGCATATTGATATAATAATATATTTAGTATCTAATTTGGGTAAACTGAACATAACACAAGCACAACAATAAAACATGAACGAATATAAAATAAATATATTAAGTTTACGATTTAAAATGTCCATAATAACCTTGTGTAGATTGTTGGCAATACAACCGTCGTTTGTACTTAGTGGATAAAATACTCTCATCACATATAGAAATAGCATTTAGGAATTGGAATAGCGCATTTATATTGTGTATTATTCCTACATTATATCAGCGCATAGATTGCAACATAGAGTACATACTCATTTCCATGGAAATGTGCTTCGGTTTCAATCTTTCAATTGCTAATGTGTGTTCTGAAATTGATGATACTTATTCTATTTTTATTTTAAAGTTATTCTGTCGTATCAGATATTATTACTTGCCTGTTTGTGTATA